TATCAGTTTGAAAATCATTTATATATGCTTTTCCATAACTTAACTATTGAACCATTCTTGTGTATAAACAGTTAAAAAAAAAATTGTCAGTTGGTAAAGTTTCTTATTCAATCTGTAAAAATATGTGTGACAGAAAATTGTGTTCATTGTTGCATGGTCATTGCAGACATTTTTGTTGGGTTTTATCATCATCAACAGATGAATGTTTGGGAAGCTTCAGTCATCATCATTGCATGAGATTACTTCTCACGTCTTCGTAAAATTGCTTTCAACGAGAAATTACAATTTTTAATGTCTGTATTCATTTAATACTTTGATTTTTTTTTTTAGCACATATTTGAAATTCAGTTTTTATAGCAAAGAATCATTTATTAAAATACTTATTTACAAAGAAATCATTATTTCGCTTTCTTACAGATTCTATTAAATACCTTTGAGTTTCAAATAGACAGGCTGGGGCAATTATTTTGAGTAAAATCCATCCAGGACATCCTTATTCTAACCACCTCCTTTTATTAGATATTCATAAATTTTCCCCCATTCTTAAATTTAGGACCAAAACATTTCATTACAGAAAATGAGCTGCCTGTTTAATTCCAATCACTCTGTTTATTTGAAACTCAAATGAAAACATATTTTTTTTTCCTCTCCCTTAATAGGATTTTAAATTTCCCATTCAAGTTATGAAGTCTTTATATACAATATTTATATTGTTTCCTTGTTACTGACACAAATATGCATGTCTCATATTCAAATAGTTATTTTAAGCTACTTTTGAGTTTTTCTTTTTTTAATATACTTTTAGTTCTACTGAAAAATATACAACACTAATCAGTTGGGGATATTTTTAATCACATTCAAATAATTAAATGTTGACAACAAAGTATACTATTTTTCCAGAATTTCCCCCCAGGAATTAAGAGACCAGGTAGGCACTTTTATAGCTTATATTTGGGTTGGATTTTCAGTTTTTGCTGTTCTCATTCAGGTATCAAAATTGTGTTTGTCTTGTATGTTACTGTTAGGAATTAGATTTGGTATCGACTGATTTATATTTACAGACAGCAAATCAGTTATTGAAAAATACTAACAGAAATCATAATTCTTAACTTTAATAATTTTTTAAAATTCTTTTTTTTTTCTCTCCACTTAATGTTTTTCTTCATTCAATTTCTCCTTGCATCTTAGTGACTTTATTACCTTGCTTGGAGGTGAAATGATTAATAAAATTAAAAAAAAATCTTTTAAAACAAATGAGTTTATTTTAAATAATTAAAATCTACTTTTGTTTTTTAAAAATATTGCACTGAATTAAAAATTAATTTTAATAAAACTAAACATTTTTTTAACATGTGGGATAAAAGAATCAATTTAAAAGTGATTTTAATTTAATCTATAACAATTAAATTTTAAACACTTGGAAGAAATATTTTTATACATTAGTGTTAACTATTGAATGACAGACAAAAGGCTGATGTCTTTTTTCAAGGGTAGTTTGTATGCTCGTTTTTACTTAGAAAATTATAAAAATGATAGTTTAACTCCTTTAGATTATAAAAATAAAGGGGAAAAAAAGGATATAAAAAATTTCAGGTTCTGTAATTTAATATTTTTTTTGAAAATTTGTTACTTGAAGCATTTGGTGCGCATTCTTCACAAGAAGCTGTCTATATTTTTTGCTCCTTTCCTCTTTGAGAAGT